GGGCGGATTGATTGGGAGAAGAGTATTAAGGGGTGGGTGAAGAAATACGAGACGAATCAGCCGCAGGTTTGTCTGGATGCACATAAGGAGGAGGTGGTAAAGGGGTTGGGGTTTACCGGGCGGTATATTGCATGGAGCCGGGATGGGCAGTGGTGTGTTGTTGTGGGGAGCGCAGGGGTCTTTGCACTGCTGCATCGATGGGGACGATGAGTAAAGAGAGCTGGCGAGAGGATTAGTTGAAGGAAAGCGTAAAAGGGTTCCTAGGAATAAAAAGTGCTTTCAACGTTCTTTAGCATTTTAAATGGCCGTTGACACCACGCAACGCAACGCAATATATGAAAAGATCGGACTTTATATCATGAAACAATTACATTGAATATGAAACCCAAGGAGACCCAATCCCATATCCCGCTATAATATACAAGCAGCGTCGCTCCACTAATCCACCTTTCCCCCGTTCGTGTTACCTCCCAACAGACCGTCCTTCTCATCGAGTCTGAAGAAGCCTCCCTTGTTCCTCCGTACACGCCCCCTTCCGTAAATAAACACACCCAGTAAAATGCCGGCGATAATGCCGATAGACAAGAGAGGATGTCCTGAAATGGCACCTCTGATGTCAAAGAAAAACTTCTCGAAGCTTGAGATGGTCGACTTGGGCTTGATTTGTGGAGGCGACTTGGAGACTTTTCCAATGGTCTCGAGGATTGATGTTCGTGATGGCATGATAAAATTACCACTGATAGTTGTGTCCCAGTATCGTCGTTGCTGTAATTGTCAGTACGGGAGTAGTAATAGTCGCATATAAAAGACTTACATCTTCGTCATTGATAATGACTTTCTCGCCATCCTTGGCGACTTCAATCCCATAGGTAGTTCGTACCCATCTTTCCCAGAAGACACCATCCACCCAGGCGAAACCAACTTCTTTCTGCTCTGATTTATCCATGTTGATGCGTATACTCTTTGCCGCCCTAAGGGCTCGTTGATCATTACGGTCTTCAGCCTCTTCAATTCTTAGTTGCTTAGCATCTCTCAACTCCTGGCGCTCACGCTGAAAAGTGGCGGTTTGCCTATCCATCCACTCCAAAGCGGCGCTCTTGATTTCCTTCTTTCCCATCATGAACTCATCTGGTCGCTCACGAGTAAAGATACCCAGGACTACAAGCTTTCCATCCATAATCTCTCGAGAGTTGGAAGCAGTAAGTTCAGGGACAATTGGAAGCCAGACTGACTGCATCCAGTGAAGAACTTGTCGGAAATCGCGCATATCTTGGGGAGCGAGTGCTGTATAATATGTGGGACGGCCATCTCGGGAAACCAAAAGTCTAGGCCATGTGGTGATCTTGAATCGTTCGGCAAGAAGGGCGCTGTTCGTCTTCACCAACTTTGCGTGTCCAATCAAGCTTAATGTCAGTCTTTCCAGAGCTGCAAAGTCTTCACTGGTTGTAGCGTGGTCGTAGAAATAGACGAAGATGACTTCCTCTTTCTCCTCTAATTCCTTGAACTCCGCAGCATCGATATCCTTCACGCCTTCGCCAAGGTCGATAGCTTTGTTAGCGTACGTAACAAAGTCGCCCAGTCCTCTTAAGCCGTCATATTCAACTCGCTCGCCTCCACGGAAGAAGAGAATCGTTGGGTATCCTCGTAGGTGAACATCCTTGCATAATCTAGATTCAACATCACAGTTCACTTCTCCAATATTGAGCTGCCCTTTCATTTCCTTCGCAAGCTGGATCCAGTTCGGGGCCATAGCTTGGCAATGCATACACCATGGCGCATAAAACTTGATGAACCATGGCTCTTGCGTCGTGGTAACTGAGTTTTGGAAGCTTTCTGCGGTGAAAGAAATGGATTGTCCAAGAGGATTGGGTGTAGAAGTAGGCTTCGCTGGCTTCTTGAGAGCTGCCGGAGCCTTAGGAGAAGCTGCTTTCTCCTTCTTCACTTCCTTGGTTGGGGGTGTCTTCGTCTCCTTCTCCTCAGCCAATGTATCTTGTTCGGGGCCTTGGTAGTCTTTGGTACTCTTATCTCCCTTTTCCGGCAATACGGGGCCGCCAAGCGGTCGTGAGCCTGGCCTAATAGTCTCGAGGACCTCTTCCACAAAAGTACTCAAACCCGCCATGTCCTTAGTACCCACAAATCTCTTGAGTTCTTCTGTATCCTTATATAGAATGAAGGTAGGGAACGCGTTGACATTGTGAGCCGTGCACGCTGAGCCGTAGGCAATACAGTCGAGATTTGCAAAGTGAAAATTGTAGTACGGCGTGAAGGAATTCATGGAAGACGATGCGGTATCCGCATTGGAGCCCGCAGGAACAGGCTTCGAGGTATAGTAGAATTCGTACAACGTTTGCCAGATGGGCGCAATTGCAAGACAGTGCCCACAATATGGTCTGAAGGATTCCAAAGTCAGACTCTATCTCCTCCGAACGATCTAAAATAGCGGAGAGAGACTTACGAATGATGTTTCACAAACCAGTACCCGTCTGCCGTGGTCTCATTGAACTTCTCCCCATCCATATCGAGGAGAGGTGGCACTTGGACGCCATTGAATACTGAGGGCTCAGGCACATCTGTTGAGGCTTCATCTGTCGATTCTAATGTCGCATCTGTACTTCCGAGTTCTTTTTCGGATGATTCTGCTATTATTCCGGTCGCAAAAATGGAGTAGAGGAGGGTGATTGGAAGGAGACGCATGTTGGGCTTTGAGTGTTCTAGTTCTCCTGAGGTTGACGTTGCGCGGCGAGACCGCCGTTGGCCAAGTTTATGGCCAGAGGAATGACCGCAACACCTTTAGATATTCGAAATGGCGCAGTGCTGCCCGACACGAAAGTCTCTAGTGGAAAGCGAGTGTATGGTGAGAGCAGTTTGGTCTTGGAGTCGCGATATTCTCTTTATCGGACACTTTGAAGATGTTGCCATCTTTGGAACGGCAACTACGCTAGCGCCTTGGCTTTGGCCTCGCCCTTTCCCATCAACACCCCTACATTGCATCCACGTGACTCCACTCTATTTTTCTTGATGTGACTCCCAGGCAACAGTCGCAATCTTTTCTGACCGGATGACAAAATGGAAGACGCGCCTGAGAAGCATTCTCGCAAGAGACAGAAGTTAAATAAAAGGGACGATGACTTTGACGATGAATCCCCAACTGACCGAAGTCACTTACCCAGAACTCTATATCCCTCGGTTTCGCCCCCTCCTCTTCGTCGAGCTCTACAGTCTCCCCAGATTATGAAATCTCCGTTCCAACTCACCTGGATTCAGGATCTGCCTGAATCCTCGAATGTTGATGCCGTCTCCCTGAAGAATATCCTTGGGGACCCACTTATTGCAGAATGCTGGGAGTTTAACTATTTGCATGACCTGGACTTTCTTATGGATGCGTTTGATGAAGATGTGAGAAATCTGGTCAAGGTCCATGTTATTCATGGATTTTGGAAGCACGAGGATACTTCACGTCAAAATATGAAGGTACGACGCAATCACTCGCTACCCCTTTAAACTTTTGTTTATTCAATGTGTCTCATATGTTTGAATCTAAACAGTACAAAATACAAATCGTATTTGTCCATTTGCTAATCAGTTGGTAGTTGCAAGCTTCGAATTATCCAAACATCACTCTTCACACAGCCTTCATGCCAGAAATGTTTGGCACTCACCACTCCAAGGTATGTTTACCTCTGGCTCGAACAGAGGCTAAGCTGATTATTGATTCTTGATGCTCATTCTCATACGACATGATTCTATGGCACAAGTCATCATTCATACTGCCAACATGATAGCCTTCGATTGGACCAACATGGCTCAAGCGGTATGGAGGTCACCCCTCTTACCTCAGATACCTAACGATGTTACGCTTCCAGAATCCAACAAGATAGGTAGCGGTTCTAAGTTTAAGAAAGACTTGCTCAACTATCTCAAAGCATACGACACAAAAAGAGTCATATGTAAACCATTAATCGAGCAGCTGTCGAAATACGACTTTTCCGCCATTCGAGCTGCCTTAGTGGCTAGCGTTCCAGGGAAACAGGATATTGAGACTGATGCGGAGACGTCTTGGGGCTGGTCTGGACTGAAGAATGTGCTGAGCGCTGTACCCGTCAAAACAAACGAGCCAGAGATCGTTGTGCAGATTTCGTCAATTGCAACACTAGGTGCAACTGATAAGTGGCTCGAAAAGACACTTTTCAGCTCATTAGGCGCTTCTAAGAACATGATCTCGAAACCTAAGTTTAGTGTCATTTTTCCCACTGCAGATGAAGTCCGGCGGAGTCTAAATGGATATCGATCTGGCAGTGCAATTCACACTAAAATACAGTCTGCAGCACAAGCGAAACAGTTGCAGTATTTGAAGCCAATATTCTGTCACTGGGCTGGAGATGGCGCCCAACCAACCTCTAGTATGATGCCTGTCTCCATGTACTGCTATATTTACTGACGATTTGGCAGCATCATCAACGTCAGTTTCTGACGCCGGACGGAAACGTGCTGCTCCTCATATCAAGACCTACGTCCGCTTTGGAGATAAGAACATGTCTTCCATTGACTGGATGCTCGTGACTTCGGCGAACTTGTCCAAGCAAGCTTGGGGCGAGGCGATGAATTCCGCCGGCGAAATTCGAGTCTGTAGTTACGAGATTGGCGTCATAGTGTGGCCTGAATTGTACGGAGATGATGCTACCATGATTCCAACATTCAAGACAGATTCGCCACCAGCGGACTTGAAGACAAAGAACAAGATTGTTGTTGGAGCAAGGATGCCATATGATCTTCCTCTAGTTCCGTATAAGAGGGGTGACGTTCCTTGGTGTGCTACCGCGTCTTACACCGAGCCAGATGTAAGAATATTTCTTCATACTCCTCTCTTAAAACCTTTTGAAAGCTCTGATGGCCGCATGTCTTGTTCTCCAAATGACAAAAAGATTCTAACTCTATTTTGTAGTGGTTGGGAGAGATATGGAGGGTATGAAATTAGGTTGGACATAGGTAAATATGCATATTCCAGGAGTCTGTGCAAGTAGCAGGCATATTTCACTTGCATCATCAGCGTAGATACCTTAGCTAGCATTGTTCAGAGTCTACCAAAATCACGGATTCATAACGCAATATTTGCAAAGCCCTTAGCTAGTTACCGCTCCCTGAAATCCTCATGTATGACAACCCTCCTCTCCCTCGCATCATGCAGCCCTACAGTATCCGCACCGTGCCTCCAAGTCAATCAACATCCCCTAAGCGCCCACAGCCTCCGGAACCTTATCCGCATCATATCCCAGCTTCTCCTTCAAGCTCTCCACCAGCGCAACGTATTTCTCCTTCGCCTCATCAGACGTAAGACCCTCGTCGACCTTGGATTGCCATGCAGTCTTCTTCGCCTTGCCCTATTATCCAAATCCACATTAGCACCAATCCCAAGCCAACCCAATTATTCGCAAATAGGTACCAGCGTCTCTTGGGATATGGATATTATCTGTTGAGGAAAACGAAACGAACCTTGAGATCGAACATGCCTGGCTTCTCGGCCTTGGAGATATCTTCGCCTGTCGCAACCTTGTACAGTCCTAGAATCTCATCAGGGTCGTTCTGGTGAACGGGGTATGGGACGGGGCGTACCGTAGAGCTCTAGCAGTTCATCGTTGCTGGGCTTGGAGGTAAGCTTCTTGGAGTCTGCGACTGCGGTATCGAAGGCGGACATCTTGATTGAGATGGAGAGGTTGTTATGTACTGCGTTTGGTGAACTGGGTAAGTCAGTGTTCTTGGCTGTGGGAGGGAAAAGGAAGAGGGTACTTGTACTGACATGAGAGTTGAGAGTTATTTGGTCGGAGTTGGTGTGCTTGTTTCGAGGTGGCTTTGTTGGGAAGGAGATGCGGGGGTTTTTACTGTATTTCTCGATAGTGAGGGGCACGAGGACGCTAGCGAAAGATGTCATCAACGGACCGAGCCTTGATTCATCTCTTTCTCTCTCTCTCTCTCTCTCTCTCCCTCTGTCCCTCTCTCAATTCATGCTTCTGTGAATGAAAATAATTCAGATCGGAATCCTCACATTTCTACTTTATTTACCGGCTATACGAATTTCTTCTCTCTACCAGTTTCCATTTTGTTCGTATCCCTATTATATAGATATGGAGCAGGGCAATGTACACATCACCTTTCATATCAAGTATTGGCATAGGATAAAATGACAATAATGGGAGCAAGGTTCTTCTTGTCCAAGGGATAACTTGGAATTTCGTCCTAAAAATTCTTATATTTCCTGAAATCGTATAAGCAACTGTATCAGATCGCGAAGTTCTGACATACACATCCAGGGGTTAATATCTAGCTCCTTCCAAATCCAGAACACAAGTCTACCCCCAAGAAAAGCACAAAACATTGGAAAACTCCTCGATAATCAAGCACAACTGACATACGTAAGTAAGTGTTTCGCGTTGAATAAATAGCGTCTCTGATTTGTCTCCCGAGCCCAGTCTCAATGGCTTAATGTGTTCTGAAAACTTTCAAATGAATGAGGAAATTTACCTTCGTGGTACGGGTTGGCCATATCGAAAGTGGCCATTGCGGTCCATCAGCGCGGCCTCATATTGCTGCCATGCCACTGTTGTTGCGTCGTAGTGGGTTTTGTCTGTGCGGGCAGACCTATTAATGCAAATCACCGAAGATAAACTTCCCCCGTCCTTTCACCTCGCGGGCGACTTTAAAAAGCTACTGGAATATTCAATTCTGGAAGAGAGACTCAATCATCATGACTCCTACTACCAGTATTTCATCGCGCTTTGAGCTTTTACCTCCGGAATTACAAGATCATATCTTAGAGCGGCTCCCAGACTGGAAGACGCTCCATTCCTTGATACGGGCATCCCCTCGGCATTTTGAGGTCTACAGATGCTCCAAAGAAGCTATCTTGGCCAATATAACTACCAACTGTATAACGCCCTCCACGCTTCCAATTGCATTTGACGTGCTAGAGATGCGTGGGCATAGACAGCCTCACGCGAACCGTCCTGCAGTCCTCTCATTCATGAAAGACTTCTTGGAGGAATCTCCGAACCATCTAGATGTATCTCTAGATACGTCAAAGACCCTACGTCAATTTCATGATGTTGTCGACTTTGTTATCTCAGATTTCACTACGACTCGCCTCGCCATAATCAATAACTACACCCACCCCGAGCAACGTCAGTCTCCCAATGCAGTGATTGAGCCCAACGGATCTTATGATCTCTCAGCAGTTGAGTGATCTCGATTGGCTAGCGCGTTTTATTACCTGGAGCTCTATGGTCAACTGTTTTACGCCCCTGAACGCCCTGAAACCCAAATTACAGTGGTGGAACAAGCTACAATGTTTCTCGAGCGTCTTGAAGACTGGGAGTTTGAAGAATTCCTCTGCATAAGGACTAATCTCCTCGAAAAGCTCAATTCATTTCGGAACCAAGTCGAAGATGACTTTCTGGAAGAGTTCATAGACGAAGGGCCTGGTCTCACCAATGGGAATCACCAGAGGTGGGACAACGGTGATATGTGGTTCTCCACGACTTGCCATAGGGAAATGCGGAGCTATTGGATAGAAGGATGCTTGTCCCGCATTTTGACAGAGCTCAAGGCGATGTTTGTAGCGAGCACGCTTGAGGATAGGCTAGATGCGATTGGATACGAAAGCTGGCCACGGGTTGGGCTGAGTCAAGCCCTGAAAGAAATGACAGAGCACCCGAGCCGGCCAAGAAGTTCGTGGAGGCTGGAAATCGATGGCGATACAGCTTTTCATGATGACATCGAGGCATGCAATGCCGGTTGGTTTTAGGCAATGCGTTCTAGGGAACAGTCAAGACACCTTAGTCCTTACAACAAAGAATTCGATACTCTCAGAAGGATTAGATATTCAGTATGGGGTCATGAGATATTGACAAGCCTCGGAATTCTAAGTAGAAGGTAAGCAAGCCGCGAACTCCTCCAATACTAATCAGCAATGCAAACCAATAATAACAAACAGGACGGATGATGTAGTGGACGGCTGTAAAAGACTGGTTTGCGAGAGGCCGAGTGTCGAAAATCGAGTAGCGATGCAAGTGGAACTATGGAAAGAGGAATGAATTCACATTACGAAGTGGGGATAGACAGAAGGCTCCTGGGGACCACTTTGATCAGAAACCCCTCACTCGAGTTATGGTTGTAAAATCTTAGATGAAGTATACCAGAGTTCTTTCTGACCACTCGACGATACTCAGTCATGGAGGCAAGGTAAGGTTCCACAAATATTCCTCATTGTCCAAAATTCTCTATCCTAGGACCCCAAAACACCCGCTCTTATTAGCGAATAGCGGAAACATCTAACAACATCTACTTCAATGCGCTCCAGCAGCAAGCTCATCAATAGTCTTTGCAACGACGCCTATCGGGTCAAACGATGCCATCTCAGCCTCCAACTCCAAAGCCCTCTTCTTATACTTCGGGTTCCCCAAGATCTCATCCACAGCAGTGTGAATAGCTTCTGGTGTTGGCGCGGCGGTTCGGAGATTGATACCAATGCCAGACCACTCAGCTCTGGCAGCCACCTCGGGTTTATCTTCAGTGGCACCAGCGACAATAATTGGTGTTCCGTTGGAGATAGCGTGCTGGAATGCACCATAGCCGCCATTGGTGATAAAGAGAGAAGAGTGAGGCAGGAGTTCATCGAAGGGGATGAAATCTGCGACTCTAGCATTGACTGGTACGGAAACACCCTCCGGGAGCGAAGCCCCCTTTTTGCCGAGAGCAACGACTACGAGGATATCGTCACGGTCCTTGAAAGCCTCCATGGTTGGAACGGTCAGCTCGGCGAAATTCACAGCAAGAGTTCCTTGGGAGATGGCTACGATCTTCTTGTCCTTGTTGTTCACAACTTCTTGCCACCAAACAGGCTTCTCAGCGTCGTCGCGTTTGCCTTTACCAAGCCCACCCGCGAATTGAATACTCGAGGGAGCGTCGCTTCTGGGATACTCGGCATGAGGAGAGCACATCTGTAAAAAGCGATCGGGGTAAAGGTACATAGCGTCCAAAAGGAACCTATCAGCTTTGGCGCCCACTTGTTCCAAGCATTCCACAAACGCTTTCTGCGGCGCGGCGAGAAGAATCTTTTGCATATGTTCTGTCATTGCTTTATTCCTTTCTCGACCTTCTGGTGTATTGTCGGGAGGAAGGCCGGGACCGAACGGAGGCAGGTCAATACTCGACAAGGTCATAGGGATAAGACCGATTCCGAGTGTCCCTGCTGGCTTTATGCCAGGAGCCCCCCTGCAGATAGGAAGGCCGCCTTCAAATACACTCTCGGAGACTTGTACAATGGGTCTTCCCGGGTGCTTCTCGGTGAGCATCTTCATAGCTTCTTGCATCGCTTCGTGTTGAGAAGGCATTGACTTGACAAAGCAATTCTCAATGTCAGAGGCCAGCTGCACAGGTCCTGGAGGCAGCGAGTTCCTTTCAGGCCATCGTGTATGAAGCTCTCCGTCGTGCCAGTCGCCATACTGTCAACACTCAGAGTCAGCAATACTCAATCAAAAAAAGGCTATGGAGTTTCGATTCGAAAGTCTTGAGGACTGTAAGGTCCCGAGGTGTAAAATTCGATCTTGAATGCTCCTGTATTTTTGCGAACGAGAGACTTGAATGCTTTATGGAATTTACGGACCCCTTTAACGGCTACGAAGTTACAGCCGATATCCTCAAACGCTTTGCGCCAGAAGCTTGCACAGACTATCGTCACATCATATCCCCGTTGAATGAGTTCCTTTGCAATTATCCGAATTGGCATTACATGGCCTTGGATCGGTGTACTGGACATGAAATCAGAACCTATTCTTTTAGGAATTGCTTGGGGCAGAAGCTTACCATCCGAGAAGCACGAGCGGCTTTGTGTCTGATCCCATTATGCTGATCTAGGAGAAGTAAACAAAGTACAGCTTGCTTTTAAGGACTTGACAAGTGTAATTTTTTCTCAATGAGAAACAATAAGATGAACTTGACTTTCTGGGGGTTCTACCCATTTTATGTGCATCCTGTCTACGGCTGGCTTCCATTTACATCGTAACGTCGTAGAGACATTCCCCAGTCTAACACGCATCTGGGAAGCAAGATGCTGTTCCAACGAGGAGTATCCTATCATGTAGATACGCCCGGCTCGGTACTGGAGCCCCTCGATCTTGAAATAGACTGGGACTGTCCCGCTGTGCCGCACTGAGCGGCGCTGTGCGGCGAGGTTGATGGCTCAGCCTCAGCTATCTGCATTTAACCGACGCAGTCGCTGTGATTGGGGTCTTGGGCTCGGATGGACTTTCGACAGCGACATACGCCGCAGCGCTGAGATCGTCATTACTGTAGGACGAGTCGCACAGTATGCGAGTGGTTTGACTGTAATCTCATACTCTTACGATTCCTTTGCCTTGATTGGTCGTAGTAAACATTCCGACTCCTCAACCGTCAAAGCCTACATGGGACACCTCAAAACACTTGAATTGAATATCCTCTGGTCCTAAAGCCTCAGGTCGACGTCTCCCACACTAGAGTTTAAGCTGTCGGGCCATAAAAGTATGGCGTGGATCCAAGGATCAAGGCTGAAAACTACTCGCTATAGAAGCAAAACTAGTTGATAAGCTTTCGTAGCCCTGCGGCCACTAGTCCCCTACCAGAAAACCGGGCTGTCATTTTGCAGACCAATATATTATGTTTGAAAATCGCAAAGTTCTCCACGACAGACAAATCCAGCACAGTGATATATGGCTCCTACCCCACAAAGGTCCTAACCTGAAAGTTTGTCACCGGGAACATGGGCAGGCCTGCCACTGTGCCAATCTCAGGTCTGTCATTCATGCAGCGAAGCAAATGAAACCCCATGTCATTCTCGGCGACGAGCTTTCGAGGTAAAACCTCGATATAACGCCCAAGTATGGCAAATTATTGTAGCTCAACGAACGATGTAACTAAAGAAGAATAATATGGATGACTCTAAATCCAAGACTCAAAAACCACCGCAAGTTAGCGAAAATTATCAAAAGCCCTGACAAATTTCACACAACCAGCAGCTTTGCATTGGCAGGAAGCTTGACGTTAGACAGCAATGTATTGTATCTGGCACAAGTAAAAGCCGTCCACTACTCTCCGTCTCCAGCTCTGTTATCGCCTTGATTTATGAACCCACGTAAGACTTGGCGTGAGTTCAAAAAAGTCAAAAGCATTCGTTTAACATTGATTGCACTTGGCGTATTTTATGAAAGTAGTACGGCGTTCTTTGAAGGCAAGTAGGTAGCAGGCATGTCGATGCAAGATGCACCGCAGACCAAGAAGATGCAAGCCTGGGTCTCAAGATGAGGGCAATGACATAGGAGAGGACCGAAGAAGACGGCAGGAGGATCTGACTTTAGAAAACGAAGTCGGTGGCGGAGCCAGCTCCGGAAAGTACCGGTTTTTCATATTGTTCGTCTCGGCCTAACTCCCACCCACCATCGATCAGTTCTCACAATTACAATATCAGGCCATGGATGCTTCAATATAGATTTGGAATTCTGCAATCCTCCACTTGAAGTGAACTGCCGAGGCTCTTTGGAATATTACATGTGAGGTTTCTAGCTTCCTGAGCCTAAAGGAACTACCAAGAAAGGATTCAAGTGAAATTATCTCTGCAGACTGACTGACTCTGCAAACCATCAATGTCTTGAAGTACTTCATTGGACATACAATGGTGTTCTATGCGAGCAGCTTGCTTTCTCGTCGGCTTTCTTACTTTAGTTTTGGGGCCAAGGATAGTGTTTTGATCAGCACAAAACTAATGTATTGTAGCCTCTTAGATTTCGCCGAATCTTCTGCTTTCGAGACTTCTGGCACTGCATTGCCTTCACCCAAAGAATAGAATTGAGAGCGTTGAAATATTGAAAAACAAGATGAGTCGGGGACAGAGAACTGTACATAGTTTGCTCGATGAAGTTCACCCGGGGTGATCTAAGGAAGGTACACTCTCACTACTGCACCAGCAACCCAAACCGGGAGAGATATCGGGACTCTTCGGCCCTAGAGATCAGGAGACACAATCGCTGGCAGGGCTTAGCTCAGACATTCCCGAATCCCAAGTTATTCCCAACAACTAGGTCGGACCGTCTTTGCTTTGACGGGGTCCTCATGGAGAGCATGAGCAAAGGAGAGACCGACACGTGGCAACCGAGTATAACCGGCATCTGAAATCCAAACGAGCAAACGATGATGTGCAACTCTGAGTTCCCAAGAAGAAGAGGATGAAACACTGGCTTCTCTGCAATGATAATGGAATGACGAGATGGTACTCCGCGCTTTCCGCAATTCCTCTCCTGCCTTGGAAGAACATTGCGAATATGACTTTGCGGAATATGCAAACAGGTCTTTTAGGACGAAAACACCCCACGATACTGTCTTACCTGTCCTGATAGCTGCCGCATAATCACTCACTCACTCATGCACTGCACCTCGGGCAATGACCCAATCTTTGGAAGCAAGCATGGAAGCATGGAAGCTTACAAGACTGTGAAGACTCGGAAAGGAGGGGCACGGATGACTACATGCAGAAGCACCCTTTGTCTTTGGTAACCAGTGAGTGTTATTGATGGTGCGTGACCGATGTATTGGTAACAGTGGAGTGGACGGTGTAGGTGTAGGTGTAGGTATTGTACAGTAAGATTCGCATATCACATCACTCACAGCTGCAATGCTGACATGCAGGGCTGGAGTGGGCTACTGTAGAGGGCAGGGCAGGGCAGGCAGGGTAGGGGACGCCAGCGCCATGCAGTGCTCTGAGCCCGTTTCGGAGGATCGACTGTACGAATGAGGATATCCCAAACACGCTCAGCGCGACCCGTCTACTCGGCGCGGCGCGCGCGGTACGGTACGAGTACAGAAACATTAGAGGACCTCTCCCACATCCACGTTTTACTCCACACCCCCCCCATCTATCATCCATGAATTCCCGCTCCACCATTACTCATTACCCACTACCTTAATCCCCTCCCCTTCCCTCCCCTTCCCCTCCCGTCTTGGGATCGTTTCCTCGCATATCGATTCTCCTTCCGTGCTCTTGTCTTCCTTAGTGTGGGGGGGATATGCGCCCTTCTCCAATGATCAGATAAAGTATTATCGTGAGACATGAGATAGGCACCTGAAGCAAGACAGCCTCACTTTTCCCTTTTATTGTTTGCGTTCATTCTCTTGCGGTGCACCGCCGTAGCGTTGCATACCTACCGATCGAGGGCAGTGCGTGCATACATACGCATATCATAGATGTCATCTCGTAAGACCAAGCCCCGGTACAGTATGCTCTATATTGATTTGCTTCTTCTTCTAGAAAGAGCGGAGAAGCTGGCCGCTCAACCTGCTGATGGGTTATATGTTGGATCTGACGGCGCGGGATTAAAGGGTTACTTCTCCCGTGCAATACCAGTTACACATGAAAATCTCACCTCTAGGCTCCAACATATACCGAGTATACCTTCAATATATATAAGATCATCTTTGCTTCACTCAACCTCCATCTCCATCTCCATCTCCACCAGATACAATACATATACCTCTCAGTCAACAAACAAATTACATCTATACCTCAACCCTCACCACAACAATACCTCTACACCAGTCCATTGAACCCCTCTACACGTCTATCACTTCATACTTCAAACTTCAAACCTCATTCCACCATGGCCGTCACAACCCCAAAGCCCCTCGTCAACAATTGCTGCGGCTATTGCTGCAAAGCTGAAGAATATGGAAATCATGACTGTTGCGGGGTATGCAATTCCAAATGATTTCTCTCTCAAGCAACACTGACTCTGAAACCCTGTAGTGGTGCGAAGTAACGGATTGTTTGTAACAAACCACAACCTCTTTCCTTTCAAATCGATGAAGTATTGCAAACTGGTCTCCTTATTGTGCTATTTTAAGGAGTTTGGGGCTTGGAATGGCTGGTTCGGATGGGATATTGGAGTTTCACAGCACTGCATGGCCGGATATGCACATGCACTACAAGTACAGTGTCGTGCTACCATGTACGAAATTATCATTGACCGTATTCGGTTGGAATTATTACCTCCAAACTCCGTTCCTGGTATCATGTCTTGCTCCAAATTGTTCCCAAAAATAACCCGCCTATGTGAGGCTCAAAAATACGCCCGAGATGCTGCCCTTGTCATATTTAACGTACTTTCCCTTGCCCTTGTCAACTTCGTGGTATCGATCCCAAAATCGCCCATATAGCGGCTCGATCATCTGCTGCACTTGTTTGCCCAGCATTTCTCTGACTTCCTTCTCCATGCTAAGACTCTTGTGCTTTGCTACCAGCTCATCGAAACTGGCATTGAAGAGTCTGAATTTCTCTTTGATGGAATCTTTATCCTTGCTGCCGAGGCCTTTCAGAATAGCAGCCGAGTCAATAGCAGCGGCTGAGCCGGATTGTGGCCGGTTGCCGCGGTTTGTATATTGCACGTCCAGCAGGTGTGCTGATGGTTCCCGCCACGCGAGAGTGTACAGTTGAGCTCCAGTCTTGCGCCATTTGTCAATATCCCCCATCCGCGATTGAAGCAACGGTTGCAGATCGGAATTGCGAATCGATCGTTCAATTACTGTGGCGTTATTGGCAATGAAGACGCCAAGTGCCGGCTTGCCTTTTAGAACGGGTTTGGCTCTTGCCTCTAGGGAAGTGAGGAGAGTATCAATGGTGTCAACGCTGTAGTGAGCGAAAATTTGTTTTCCATCAGCTCCAACGTCAAACGACTTCAGGGTAGGAATTTGATCAGACGAGTTGTTCGTGTTAGGTGCCGATTTCCAACCGCCGTCGCCGATAGATATCATTATGCTTGAGATGGGACGTAAGAAATCTACCATGGTCTGTAGTCGCGTCATTGTTTCCGAAGTTATGGGTAAAGCAGCACCATCTCCCGGGATGGTTGGCAAGTTGCTTATTCGGCGGCGCGTATCCTCCAATAACTCTCCCAAAGAGGATTTTCCCGTTTCCCTAATAGGTTTAAGAGCTGCTGCAAAAGTAGGTCTCAATTCCCCTGTCCTAGTATCTAGATTTGACGACAGATTCGATATGATCTCGATGATCTCGTATGCAAGGTAGCAGTCGGTGGTAAGGTTGTTTTTAATGTGAATGTTCAGCTCGCGAAGTGTCCTGGCCATCTCTGAAATAGATCCCTGGCAAGTCAAATTGAAGACTCTGCTCCACTCCTCCCGAGAAAATAGTCCGCATATATTGTCATATTCAGCAAGGAAGGCTGCCTCCATGCCCTTAGCATAGTGGCCCATGCCATTTGTTCCCTGGCGATAGATAGCATCCGGTGACTTCTTTTTCGCGGTATTGAGTGATGCAGATGCCAAGTTTTGTAGCGTAGCAGTCAGGTATGGACCTCGCACGCTTGCATACAATTGCAAGACAGGTGATTCTCCGGAGGTTCCAGATTGTCGCATGGATGACCCAATGTAGGAATTTATCAAGCCCAAGCGCGTAGTTTTGTCTTGAGAGAGCATCGGGAAAGCCTTATCCTTTGTAATGTAATATAGGGGTTCGATGGGTCTAGAGTCCTCTTGTAGCAGGTGTTGAAAATGCCCTTCCAACTGAGTATTTCCAGCCTTGAGGAGCCTGCTGAGATCAGAAACAGCTTGTTGGTTGGTTCGAAGATTTGTCTGCTTCATCTCCTGCAGGGCTTTATTGACACGCTTGACGGAGCTGAGGAAGGCTGCAAGGCCAGCCTTTTCCGGACTATACGATAGTCAGTACAAACTTTAGCAATTGAATCCCTAGAATACTTACCCTTTTCGGATGATGTCCTCTTCATTGCTCTTGATGTCGGACGGTTGTCTAATTCTCTGGATGGCGTTGATGACTCCATCGATATCTGCAAGAAGTCAGAACTGCCTCAAAGTTTGGAAGTTTGCGAATGCATACTCGCTCCGAGAGTTTGAAGCTTTTGGGTGCTGCCGTACAGAGGTCCAACAGCTTCTTGAACGCTCCTCCCGCTCGATTCCAGTCGTGACAGGGAGGCTTGTATCTTCTTGGTCAACTGGCTCGTCTTATCCAGCCTCGAATTGAGCACCTCGACCTCAGCGCGCGCCTCCTCGTCGGCGGCCTGCCTCGTGCCTAGAGAGATGGCCATCTTGTTCTGTTGTCGCCATGAACTCCATTCAGACGGATGATACATGTGGACTAGGCACGCTAAACCGCAAAGGGCTGTGTGTGGCTTGGCCCGTTAATCTGTTCTAACTAATGAAACATCAAAAGACACTGACTGCACTTTGGAGTGATTTGTGTGAGATGAAGAACTCATGGCCAAATGTGCAGAAGAGAGCTGCTTTTCAATTTGGCTGTACAACTGGTTCATAGAGTGGTGAGTCGTGGTCGTGACTTCCTTTCCCTTTCCTATCGCGGTCGCGGTCGCGGTGACTTGTACTGACAGCGGCAAAATCTGGAGTCCCCTTGTCTTCTCTTCGCGCCCTTCTGAACTAATCTGATACAACATACAAGGTAGTGATTATTACCCAGTAGCATCTCACCTCTGACTATTTCCCCCTTTCTGTCACACTTCAGTTGAGAATATCTGATCCACCAGACCTGATATTCCTCATCACGTGAAGTGCTCGAGTACCAGACGGCGCCACACGCCACACGCCACGGGTCAGCCACACTCACATGGAACGAACTACTGAACTTAAACTTGTTTGGATGAAACGGAAACGGTAACGGTCCCGCAACGTCATTTAAAAGACCAACTTTCCCATCCTTTGCCCTACTCCGTACTTGTACCTCCGTAGATTTTTGCAATTCGTACGGAGCAGTCCGGATGGATTCCTCCGGTCCGTTCCCATGTACCCTGCCGCACTTGTTACCCATGTCCTCATAAATACTACTCGAGGCTGCTAAGCCTTGTTCCTTTCTCATGTCCTTCTCAATGCTTCGAGGCGCATCGCGCTCAAATATTTGTTTGTTCAAGCAATCCCTACATTACACAGACATCCTCTGCAGGACCCCTTCGCGACCATCATGGCGAAATGCATTCTACGGAAGTAGATCTCCGACGCGATCTCTTTTCACGAAACCAAAGAGAAAGTCGAACCTCGCAATGGCCTCCCGATCTTTCTTGCTCGCAAGCACATCCGTAGTTATCGCAGGTAGCCTCTTCTACATCCTACACAAAAACGATCACATCCAACCTTTACCTCCAACGCGACTACGTAGCGAAATCAGAGCGGAAAGAGAAAGATGGCGCCACGTGCAAGAAAAGAAAGACCAAGTCGCAGCCACGAATTCTGAGCAGCTTTCTGAGCTGCCTTTTCAGACAGACAAGCAGGTGGCCGCGTTGGACGATTCAGCCTGGGGAAACTTCGCAAGCAGATTTGCCTTGTTCTCTGCTGTCACCGATTTAGAATGGAGCTCTATGGCAGACAAAATAGTAGACGTCGTCATGCCAGATTGGGCGAAATTGCTCCCAGAATACATCAGCAAACTGCAAAGGGAGCTTTCCATGGCGCCTGGATCATTAGCCGACGAGATATGGCAAGATGCGCATGATCCATACATTAATCCTGAAATTGAGTACTCCGCAACCGTAAGGGTATCTTCAGAGCTTTGTGACGAGGAGAAGGCATTTCTTCAAAAGCGAAAGAAATTCACTACCGCGGCATTGGCGAAGTATCTCGGCTTACCGGAGGAGGAAGTAAACCCTGAAGACGTTCCAACGATTGCTATGGTGGGATCAGGTGGGGGGCTAAGAGCTCTGGTTGCAGGCACAGGCTCAATGTTGGCAGCGGGCGAAGCCGGCCTCTTTGATTGTATCACTTATACGGCTGGTGTAAGTGGAAGCTGTTGGCTCCAGGCGCTATACAATTCATCGCTTGGTGAACGTCGACTTGATAAACTAGTTGAGCACCTCAAGGCTCGACTTGGAGTCCACATAGCTTATCCGCCCGTCGCTCTCGCAGCACTCAATCAGGCCCCAACAAACAAGTTCCTTCTAAGTGGATTTGTGGAGAAACTGAAAGGCGACCCTGATTCTGATTTGGGGCTTGTGGATGTTTACGGGTTACTATTAGCTGCTAGGTTGCTTGTGCCTAAGGGCGAAATTGGGGTGGACGACAGAGATTTGAAGATTTCGAATCAGCGAGACTACATCAAACACGGCGAAAACCCGTTGCCGATTTATACCGCAGTTCGCCACGAGATACCCATTATCGAAGAGTCGTCAGAGCTAGAGAAGGCAACAGACAAGCCATCGGAAGAGACGAAGACCAAAGCCAGGCGGGAGGCTTATTTCCAATGGATGGAAATCACACCCTACGAGTTTTTTTGCGAAGAGTTTTCTGCTGGTATTCCAACATGGGCTCTAGGTCGAAAGTTTGAGAATGGTAAAAATATCGATCAGGATGGCTTCCACGTTCCAGAACTCCGCCTCCCATTGCTTCTGGGGGTCTTTGGCAGCGCTTTCTGTGCCACACTGTCACACTATTACAAGGAGGTTCGACCGTTAGTCAAAGGACTCACGGGCTTTGGGAGCATCGATGAAATGATTGCGGGCAAAAACGAAGACCTTAGTAAAGTGCATCCCATTGTTCCTGCCTCGATACCCAACTTTGCCAAAGGCATGAAAGGTCAGTTGCCCGAAACTACACCTGACAGCGTCTACGAAGCCACGCATCTGCAACTCATGGACGCCGGAATGTCTAATAATCTGCCCATATACCCCCTACTCCGACCTGGCAGAGAAGTAGATATCTTGATTGCATTTGATGCCTCGGCAGATATCAAAACGGAAAATTGGCTTTCTGTGGCTGATGGTTACGCTCGTCAACGAGGTATCAAAGGTTGGCCAGTTGGACTCGGCTGGCCTAAATATTTTACTACTATAGAGAAGACAGCTGGACAGTTGGAGGAAGCACAAGCAAGTACGCTAGCCGAAGCTAATTCAAAGTTGGAAGATGCAAAGGCAGATCAAGCTGAGCATCTGAAGGATATTGCTGAATCCAAAGCTCAGCTGCCGCAAAATGCGGAAGATCATGGTGACCTTGGCTATTGCACAGTTTGGGTCGGGACAACCCAAGAACGCGCCGCTACTAGCGAAGATGTCCCATCAAAAGCCGTGAAAGACGACTGGGAATTAATGGAGCCAGATGCCGGCATTGCTGTTGTATATTTCCCTTTGATGAGCAACCCCAAAGTCGAGGGCGTTGACCCGGTCACGAATGATTATATGAGTACATGGAACTTTGTTTATACCCCGGAAGATGTTGATAATGTGGTCTCCCTTGCCCGGGCGAATTTTGAAGAAGGAAGGGAGCAGACTAGGCGTTGCGTGCGGGCTGTTTACGAACGGAAAAAGAAGAAGAGAGAAGAGAAAGAGGATGCTGAAAGACTGGAAAGATGGAGGAGGAAGGTGAGGCTAGGCATTGTAGGGAAGAAAGGGGAGGGAGACCATTTCCATCTTACCTGATCAGCCAAAAAAATCGTTGTGATCGGACAAAGAGTTGCTTTTGGAGCGACACCCAAAGCGGACTTGGAAAAAAGGCGAGTAGAATGTCGCATCTTGCATAAGACATCATACGAGGTTCATGATGCATCTTGGAAGTGGTCTCGCCAAGCTCACGAGTCCTTGGGGAATATTGCATGGAAATAAATGCAAGGCCATGAAAACGCCAATAGTTTGAATGCCGGCTACGGAACCGGCAGTGTCCGCGGCGCTAGCATAATTTTGTGTTTGAGCTACAAGGCACCGGCTGAACCTGCAGATTATACCTTACAGTAACTCGGGGTTAATAACCTAAAAGCGAAAAATACAAGAACCCCCTTTTTTCCGATTCATCCGTGATATCCTTACCCAGAGCCCATAAATAGCTACAGTGAAAATCAAGCTTGTGGAAGTTTTTTCCCGGATGACGATTCTTTGGCGAATACGATCTCGGCATCTACAGTAGCGGTGTATTAATACGGCTACGGCGTACCTCGGCCTCCGCATGGAAAAAAGGGGTCCTGCACTAACGGGGATCTAAACGAAGATAGAAAATACCTTATAGGGTAGATAGACATGTGAAGGGAAAATTGTAAGGTTCGGATCTATAGGCAGTAGTAGTATAGAAAGAAAAGACACCCTAATGAGGTGGATAAAGGAATATGGCCAGTGATATAAATACGCACTTTGGGAGTTCTTTAGGCCGCAGATGCCAAGACACAGACAGGGTTGTTCCCCAGATTGTCATGGAGCTAGCTTGAAGCTCCTTGAGGATCTCCTTGGCAATTTATATAGGTATTTACGGAGTATGTAAGCCGTATACTATACGGCGTTTATAGAAGTAGATTGCATACAACTCCAGCCGGCAACCTCGCGAATGGAGGCACGTATGAAGGTAGACGTGTAAGACCAAGTCATTGTGCTCGGATTCTGCAATAAACGTCCGTCTTTTGAGGTACAGAGCGGAGTGTTCGCTAGAATCGCTACTGTACAAGTATCGCTACCTCCGTACAGTATTTACAAGGCTACCTAGACCCAAGCCTCCGTTTTCAGCAGAATGTCTCAACGACAGCCGCACTCGGGCGTGTCGTTCGTCTGTCATATTCCCAAAACGGATCTCGTGTCTCAGGAGAGAGAAAAAGAAACTGTTTCTCCAACCATCCATCCAAGCAAGATCCGAGCTCCAAAAACCCGCCACTGCGGCTGATGATCCGACAACACACAGGTACTCCACTCCACCGCTTACCTATTGAACAAGGTTGCTCAGAGCTAGCAGCTGCATCCTAGTCTACCCACCTTCACACATATACCGTAGCCTGCTGCTGTCACTACCCATCGATGATTGAACAGCAGACCATACATTCCAATCACAGTCTTTACTCGGAAACATCAAATCAATCAACATTCGTTCAATAACAGCCTACAGTCCGCCCGTCCATACTCGAGGACCTATATAACTCTGCACGTCTATGGAAATCCTGGGTTTCTGGGGTAGCGCGAGGATACACAAAATAGCTATACCGCCTTCTGCCTATACTCCACCATCCATTACGAAACGTTACCCAACAGCAGAATTACACTATTACCCTATGTAAGACGGACTACAGCATCTCCCAGACCACAGCGTCTTGCCCGAGCACCTAGAAGTAATGCAAGCAATCCCAATGACTCCGCCAATGGCTTCTCGTCCACGCAGATCCTCAGCCTCGTCATTTGACGATGCTTTCATTGAAACCTATCTTTCAAAAACCTATATTCCGCTTTCAAATCTCCCGACCCCACCGCCTTCTTCGCATTCAAACAGCAGCACGCACCAGCAATCCTCGTTCTTGACTTCGGGAGAGATCCTTAATCCCAAGCTTGTCGGTATGTACACCTCCAGAGATTTCATATATCAATACCCAAGCTAATCTCATATATCACACACGTAGGTCCAGCAATACATCTTACAAACCTCATACCATCATCCACGTCCCTAATATCACCATCCGTCCCACTCGTCCACGCCCTCCTAACTCGCGCCAACCTACCCCTCGAGACCCTCGCCCTAGCAGTCTGCATCCTCGACTCCTTAAACTCCCGTTTCGCGCTCATATGGCGCCAGGGCTGTCCCCTAATCCCGCCAACTGGGCAGCATATTGATTCTGTCCACCCGGAAATCATCGTCTTGTCGGCAATAATCCTAGCGGTGAAATTCTTGGACGACGTGCGGCAGTTTACGGGGCAGTTTGCTAGGGAGTGGGGCAGGAATCTGTGGTCGTGCGTTCAGATAAACTTTACGCAGCGATGTATAATGGAGAATCTGGGCTATAGACTGCTGCCGCTGTGGGAGGAAAATATTATCTCGGGAGCGTTGGAAGATATGGATCGTGCGGCGAGGCAATCATTGCCAGAGAGTGGCTCTGACACGGCTTGGGCTGCTGATATGTGTTTTAGGAGTTTTGGGGCTGAGGTTGGCAGGAAGATGAGTGATGGGAAAGCGGTGGTGGGGTTTGAGGAGCAGTTGACTCCTGCTGAAACGCCGATGGTGGAGAATGTTCCTGGCACGAAAGCCCTTTCTTTTGAGACAAAGGAGGCTTTCCAGCCGGGAGGGACTAAATTGGAAGCACAGCAATTCCAGCTTCCTGGAAGATCGAGTCTTCAAGAGCCGTTTCCAACATATGTTGATCCTATGTTGGGAAGAATGGGCCATGGTCGTGGATGATTGATTCAAGGGTACGGGGGTTTGTTTGCATAGCGCCGGAGTTTATATACCATACCTAAGTTACCATGAGGACCTAATTCCTGATGAGCGATACTATTGTCAGAGCGTTACACATTCATACTCTGGCCAACTCATCTTCTCCTTCCAATTTATGCTTAGCGGACCTGGAATGCCATCATTCTCTTCTAGCGGCCGAGTTTATTCTCGAGATGTCCCATGGGATTCTTGTAATACGGTATATTGAAATCGGGTTGAAAGGAAGTGTGATTCCGTGCCAAGCATCAAAGTCCAGTCAGCCCCGCTTGTTCAGGGGTCGGCGGTCCTACTACAGCCACAACCTTGAATCTGAGCCGCTCAGTCAATGACGTACGTCCCTCCTCTCCAAATCAACACCAAAGCCAACATGCAAAAGTAAAAGCTAGGCAAGCGCCAAAACAACAAGCATCTCTCGAAACTCCAAAGCATGCCTCTCCCCACCTAATCTCACCTCACCTCACCTCATCCCACCTAAAATGGCATCCCTCCTCCGCCAAATCGTCGCAGGCCCCCGCTCCCGCCACCCAGAAGCCGGCCTAGACCTCTGCTACGTGACGGATCAAATCATCGCGACCTCTGGGCCCAGCGGCACGTACCCGCAGCGCGCGTACCGCAATCCTCTCGACCAGCTGGTGAAATTCCTCGACTACAAACACGGCAAGGAATGGGCAATATGGGAGTTCCGTGCCGAAGGCACCGGGTACCCAGACTCGGAGGTCTATGGACGCGTGTGGCATTATCCGTGGCCCGACCATCACCCACCGCCGTTTAGGCTCGTGCCGATGATTATGGCGGGCATGAGGAATTGGCTGCATGAGGGCGCGGAAGAGGGGAAGGGAAGGGAGGATAGGGTTGTGGTTGTGCATTGCAAGGCGGGGAAGGGGAGGAGTGGGACGATGGCTTGCAGTTACTTGATCTCGGAGTGTGGGTGGAAGGCTAGTGAGGCACTGGCGAGGTTTACGGAGCGGAGAATGAGGCCTGGGTTTGGACAGGGGGTTTCTATTCCCAGTCAGTTGAGGTGGGTGGGGTATGTGGATCGGTGGGCGAAGGCTGGAAAGGTGTATGTGGACAGACAGATTGAGATTATGGAGGTGCATGTATGGGGTTTGAGGGATGGGGTCAAGGTCCAGGTGGAGGGCTTCGTTGATGATGGGAAGACGATTAAGCTGTTTCATGTCTTTACGAAGAAGGAAAGAGTGATAGTTGAAGGCGACGCCCCAGGAAGCGGAGGACTTAAAGACAAGATTTCTGATATGGCAGGCTTTCAAAATGAGGGTAAAGTCCCGAGGTCAAAGACGATAGCCCAGTTGGATGGGTCCAGTAATAGCAAGGCTACTACGTCTTCGGAGCAGTTGTCTTCGTCTAGCTTGGACTCTACTGGTACAGAAAGTGGTGGCAGTGCCGTTATATTCAAACCTTCGACTCGTGTTATTCTTCCTACGAGCGATATCAATATCGACTTTGAGCGGAGGAACAAAGCATCAATGGGATTGACTATGGTGACATCAGTCGCCCATGTCTGGTTTAATGCCTTTTTCGAAGGTAATGGTCCTGAACAGGGTGGGAAACCTGATAACAGTGGCACTTTTGAGATCGAATGGGATGCTATGGATGGTATCAAGGGCTCGAGTAGGAAAGGAACACGAGCCTTTGATCGCTTAGCAGTGGTCTGGAAGGCATATGATCCGGAACCAGGGCGGGGTCGAAAGGAGGATGTCATTCATGAGCCAGGTGTTACTTCTCCTGTTCTCCAGATGTCACCCGCCGATTGGAAGGGAGGCAATGAAACCTCTCCTGGCATGGGGAAAGACCTTGGACTACGGACAGAGAGTCCAATCAGCGCGAACGTTAGCAAGGCGAGCAGTATTAACAGTGCTGCGAAAGATGAAGACAGTGATTCTGAAGCGGGTGTCAAAACCTCCGATCCCACTGGGAAAGAAGATTTGAATGTCAACGTAGACGATCTGCCGCAGCCGAAGGAAACCGGTTCTGATCCGACGCTCGCTGCTGTGAACGCTGGTCTAGATACTGCATCTTCCACCACCCCAGAACGTGGTTCGGAAACGTGAGTACCCCCTTCATTCGGAATCTCGGGGATACCGGCACTGACTACTCCCAGATCAAGTCCAATGATAACTGAAGCAGTACGAGCATCCACAGATCCTACAGGGAGCTCCAGCGCATCCAGGATATCGACATCAGATCTTCCTGATGGTGTTCCAACAGACCAGCTCAAGACGGCGAAGGAGCACAAACTCGGACACATGTCATCAGTGAAGAAAAATATAGACTCGTAATGTTCTGAATGATCTTGGGTTCAGGGGAATCATTATGGTGGGGGAAAGGAAACACGAATGATACCAAGTGCATAGGCTCCTCGGTCGGCGTTTTTGATCATAGCAATTCAGATGAGATAGACATTTCTAGACGTTAAAAACTCCATGGGTACGATCTGGCACCCAAATTACCGCTTGAGTTGTGCCAGTTCCTCGCTGACACTTGCCAAAGTTGGACCAACCACTCCAAGAGATGCTATTTCTGCTTACGACTGCTTCACACAATGTAGTCAATTTGTCATGCTGATCGGTTGGTATTTATATTGCTTGCATATCGTAGTGTGTTTTTCAAAGTTGCTGCACTGCACGCCTCGGCTTAGCCGAGCCCCCAATTGTAGAAGTAATGTATGGATTGTGAGCTGCCTTATTCGGGATCGAAAAAGCGGCGCTTACTTTTTAATATCCCAAGCCAAGTGGCATATCAAAAAGCTGCCATAATGAGTGCCGCTTTTTGTGTCTATAGCGAGACCACCAAGAGAAGAGCGTATTAGCAATACGAACTTGACAATACAAACACCTTAGTGTTCCTGGTAGCTATAGAACACTTGTGCGTTTGTTTTTATGATTTGCTGGTGCATGTGATATAAGGAGTCTCATAAGCTAGAGAATTCCATCAACAGCTCTGAATTTATTCGAGGATTTTGCGCATAGTTTCTTAAAGCGAATTTTTGTACTCAGAGAAGGCCGTGCCGAAGTGCTAGCTATCAAGCATCTAGTACAATGAAAAGTCAATCTGACAGCATTCGGATTATTCGAGCTGTCACGAATCGGAGGATATAACTCTAAGCAGAGCCTTCCCCATACTCTTAATGCATGGTCCCAGCGACCCTCAAGGTGCAGATCATTCGGGCGATTTAACCGGCACTGCTGTCCCGGCCCCGCTCAAAAGGGATCTTCTTTTCTCCGATTTGCTGCCTTTGGACGTCCAAGATTCTCACTGCAAGTTAATCTTAAGTGGCTTCCTAATCGACAATGCGGTGGTGAACATTTATATTGCAAAAAGTCTGGCTCACGATCATTACCTTAACTTCGCGCACGACTCTTCCGACTTGGGAGGGAAGTTGCCGATCCCACAACCAAAGAGGATTTTGTTGACCTAGAGCCAATCATCCCGGGTCGATGACAGGGGCTTTGTGGAATTAATATATAGGGACTCTATCAGTACGCGCCCATCTGTTTGAATCCATTGCATGTTCTTTCGACTTCGTATCTTTTCAGAGGCGGTGTGCTTCTTTTCTAAACTTAGTCAAGATATATATTGCATGTGCGTATGTTTATTGCACCGGAGCATCGAGTTCGTCAAGAGCCTGCAGCTCAAGGTGGCGATACGATCATCTGGTGTGAGTACGGTCAAGACATCTAGAACGCGTTCTATTGACTATGAAGATCAGACATGTTCAAAATGAATATACCATCTCACGATAGTACTGTATGGTGTATCGTTTTTTAAGATCTCCATGTACAAGCTGTCAATTGACGGGTTGGTAGCTTCTGCTGGTCGGGATCTCTTTGATCTCCTGATGTAAACAAACCGGAAGAACTGCTTTATCCGGAAATCTTGCATATGCGAGGTATATTACTTTGCTAGCATAGTCTCTTTGACGGCTAAAAAAAGCTTCGGGGGGCTCCCACCGGTCCCTCAACCCAGATTTAACCATAATCACGAACCCCAACTACTCCAAATTTCTAAATTATATGGAGGCACCTTCCTCGGTTGGGAAGGCATGCCTCAGGTTGTCGCCCGATGAGGCAGTTCTGCCTTCGGTTTCTTGAAACATCCGAGCTATACACCGTCTATTGACAGGCATTCAAACATTGAAGTACACGCGTATTGTAGGTTGGCCTCTATAGATTGAGGGCTGGGCACTTTAACGTGCCGTTGCGAGCTTCAGACTCCACTGGACTCTTCAATCTGGAGTCTATAAGTACATAACTGCATCTTTCAAATCTACCTCTTTCTTTGCCCAGTACACTTCTTTACTTGACTTCTGTGCCCCAAGTACTCTAATTTAATATGGTTCCCTCATTCAGGCCTCTTGGGCTCCTCCCACTTCTAATGTTTAGTACTGGAAGTTTTTCACAACTCAATGGTATTGATATGCGGGACAGGATGGAAGAGATGGAGCATATATGGGTTGACAATAACGGGGCCAATACTGATGGATTCGTGGGTGCTGTGTCGCCTTGCTCGAACTACGTTGGTCCCAACGGACAAAACAGAGGAGAGCAGAGTTCGGCACAGTGGGTGCGATTCGTGTTCCACGATAGTGTTACTGCGAACCTGGCCGCTGGTACTGGGTAATTATGCTTCTCTTCTCGGGTGGAATGCTTCTGACTTGTGCGCAGCGGAGTGGATGCATCTTTGGGGTTTGAGTCCGACCGACCTGAAAACCTGGGGTTGTTTGTTAATGATACTCTGCGATTCATGTCTCCAGTGAGTTCCAATCCAACCACGATTGTCTCGGACCATTGCTAACTACTTCACAGACGGTCTCTGCGTACACTAGCATGTCTGACAATATCGCCTTGGTAAAATCTCCTCCTTCCCATAGGGTAACTCATGGCCTAACACTATCAAGGGATTGATTGCCTCTTTAGCAGAGTGTGGAGGTACCACTACTGGTATTCCGTTGCGGGTTGGAAGGATTGATGCTGAGGAAGCCGGTCCTGCGGGTGTTCCGGAGCCGACTACGGATTTGAAGACCACTTTGGCCCAGTTTGCAGCTGCTGGGTTCAATCAAAGCGAGACTATTGCCTTGACGTGAGTCTGGCAAAGTTCGGTTGCCGATTCTTCTTACTGACAACAAACAGAGCTTGTGGCCATTCGTTGGGCCGCATTCATTTCTCTAACTTTCCTGACATTGGTAATTTTATATTTTTGAACTCAATCGTCGACTCGTGGTGGAAATGACGGCTGACAAGTTATAGTGGATGCAAGTGCTGTGACATCTACAAAGTAAGTCGGATGCCTCTGTCTTTCTGGTAAAGTGACTAATGCTTTTGCAAAGCATCAACGGCGGTGTGGGTTTCGATGCTACCCCGGCTGTTTTCGACAACGCCGTCGTGACCGATTATATAGGAGGCACTGGAGCGCAAGGTGGTCTTCTTGTCACGGCCGGCAACGTCAGCGATCGATCTGATTTCCGACTTTACGTATCGGACAACAACGTCACCATGCAAGCCCTTTCGGTAGAAGCTACTTTCCAGTCCCAATGCAACAGCCTCTTCGAACGCATGATCAACACAGTTCCGGCCGCGGTCACTCTCTCAGACCCCATCACGCCAATGACGTGGAAGGCAGTCGATATCGGTCTCGATATCACCCCCACGGGCGCGGTGTCCATTTCTGGATATATCCGCAATCTCTACTACGCTACCGCTCCTCCCACCGTCGTCTACTACGACACATCCACAGCCAACGGCACGCTCTCCGCTGTGGAAGTCACGACTACAGCACTTAGCTCTGGCACGTCGATCTTCGGATACACAGTCTACTACGGCTTCAACAACACGATCGCGTCGCCCGGCACAACCTCGCTTAACTTCGAGGGCATCTCCTATCCCGTCAACGATGAAATATTCATCCTCACCGCCCAATCCACCTCCTCGCGTTCAGACTTCGTCCTCAAAGCCGCGGCGCTGACTTCTCTGACTTCGGGCTTGGGATCCATGACCGGTGTGCTGTATGTGCCGGAGAGACAGCAGGGGACGGTGGTTAACAAGATTGTAAACACGACGGTTCCGATGACGGCGTATGCCACGGCTGGGAATTACACGCTGTTCTCTTCGGGCAGTGTGGCGGTACAGAATACGCGCAGTGTGATTGCGAAAGTGCTGCTGGGGGATTCGGCTAGTCGGACTGTGAAGGGTGATCTCTTTGCCCAAGGAGCCTAGTTAATGTGTACTCATTCATGGTAATGTGGCCTACTATCGGAGCGGAAGTGGAAGCGGAAGTGGAAGTTTTATAGTTAAAGTAAATTGTTGTTTGTTTTCTGAGCTTGGAGCAAAAGAAAGTGACGGGTTCTAATAAATGGAGAGTATGTGTGGAGTGAGGATAGGTATGAATAGATCTTGAGCCAAACAGACAGACAGAATTGTTCCGTCGGACCCAAACCCAGACTCGAATGTGAATGAACCCTGCTTTGCTTTAATATGTGTGGCATTACCGAGATTCTTATTAACCATCATCCAGCTCCATCCATCTGACTCTGCCCTGCTTCTGCTCACCTAGTCTTTCACCCCACGCTCCATAAGTATCATTGCCAAATTCCGATTCCGCATTAGTAATCGAGTAATCGATCCCTGGGAACCAACAAAAAGCCTCGTCGAAGAAGCATGCATCCTGTATAGAAAGCTGTTAATTATCTAATCAATGGTGATTGATTGTGCTTTGTAACGGTTAGTGAAAAGTGTAAATGAAGCGAGACCTCTACCTCCCCCTTTCTTTTGAAGGAAAAGGGGAGTGGCCCGAGCTTTCGGTTCGCATTACACTTTTTAGGTCAGGCTTCTCGGAATTTGAATTGCGTACATGTCATAGCATAGATAATTTCATGGGTAATAAATCGAAAGGGGATAGATAGGAGTTTCTTGTACCGTAGCTTCGAGAATGGAGTGGTTTGGAGTAGGTGATGGATGGGAATTTACTATTTATAAATGGCCCCAAAACGTCTGCGAACGGAACATAACATTTCTTGGTTTACACACAGTACAGTATTCGGAATATAACAGATACAAGGGAATATCTAAGTAGTAGATAAGGTATATATAAATGCAGTGCAATACAAAAACACAAAGAAAACAAATCAACTATTGCTTAGTATCAGGCCCCAAAATATCGCTTACGCTCCCCGAAGCAGAATGAGCGGGACTATACTCGGAACTGCCAGGCGTATATCTGAATCCATCCGCAATAAAACTACTATCCTCACTCCCATCATTATCCTCATACGCCGGCAACTCTTCTCCATCTCCAACTTGGCTCCCGAGATCAAAGTCCTGTATTAATGAACTCGTCTCAGAGATTGGGATTGGCATCGTTGCCACGGGAACTTCCACACGACCTTCTTCAGCAGCAACGATGTCTTCTACAACGATCGCCGCGTTGCGGAATTGGGTTATCTCCTCTGTCATTGTCGTTGACATTCTATCTTCTTCATTCGCAAGCAGCTCCTCGCGCTTCTCCTCGTAATCATCGGCCTCGTCTTCTGAATCAGTGCTGCTGAGCGAGAAGCGGGAAAGGAAGCGGGTGATGGCATATTTCTTGGCTGCGCGACGGTAGGCACGTCGGCGGCGGCGTTCTTCTCTGCGTGCCCGTCGGGATTTCTTATGGGTTGAGGCGCATGTGCGTCGGTGAAGGGCAACGAGTAGGAATGCGAGGAGGATGCCGATGGCGGTGAATTTCAAGAATATCGGCGCTTTTCCTAGGCCGTGACGTGGCGGTCCTGGAGGTCCGTCAAATCCGTCAAAAGGTGGTGGAGGCGGTGGTGGAAAGTCCTCCCCAGGTGGAGGTCCTAACTGTTGCTGCTCCTCATCGAATTCTCCTGGTGGTCCGGGATCGTCATGGTGTGGTGGGTGATGAGGTCTCTCCTCGTCTTCTGGCCCATGCTGGTGATCCGGTGGTGGTGGGGGCCCAGGTGGATGGTCTGGTGGAGGACCGGGTCTGCCGTGGTGAGGTGGTGGTG